AATGAAAAAATAATTAGAACTCTATGAAAAATGTGGATTGCTATCTGGATACGAAAGAGAGAAAGCAGATTAGAAAGGGTGCTTAATAGTAATGAGCAACTGACAAGGCTATGTTAGTAGAGCGCACACATCACAGAGAGCTTCCTCACCAGGAAAGTGCGAAGGCATGGAAAGCAAGTCAGAGGAAATAGGCCTAGACGAAATGTTAACCTTGCAGTGAGAGTACAAATTAAAAAAGGTTTCTTTATCTATTAAACGATCATAAACAATGGATCTTCTAGTCACCATGTCTTCGGTGAAGCAGTTGTGCCTTTATTCTGATAGCAGTGCAGGTTGGTGCGGCTCTTTGAAAAATTGAGGAGTGAGGAGTTGTTAGTGTTCCTGCCCTTTGGCATAATAATGTCCCCTCTGAGGACTCATCCTAAGAAAACATTCCAAAGGGGAGGAATGGCTCCGTGTATGAGGATGTCATTGGAACTATGTTCGTAGTCAGTTTCAAAGTTACCTTGATTTAACTGTCATATAGATGGCAGAAAAATGGCTGTTATATCTTCTTATGAAATGAAATATTCAGTCATGGAATATATCAGCGATTTTCAACCTTTTCCATCTCTTTGGCACACATAAACTAATTACTAAAATTATGTGGCACACCAAAAAATAAATGTTTTACTGATTTAACACCCCCCCCAAAAAAAAAAGATATAGTTTTGATTAATTCACATGGGACGGCTATTGTGTTGGCTGTTCTCATTTTTTTTTTATTTGACAGCCTAAGAGAAAAGAGGTCGGTGCCCCTGACTAAATAAATAGTTAAGTTCTGCATGTTTTAAACATTCTTGTGGCACATATCGGGTGAAGATCCCAAACTATATTGAAAACATGAGGAAAAGTTAAGGGTATCATTTTGAAGATGCTTTTGCCACTCTGGATACTAATTGTTCCCCTAAATGAATCTTCTTTCCCAGAGGCATGTCTGTTAGTTCTGGTCCCTCTGTTGGAAAAGCCGTAGCCTCTCCTTTCTTAGGTGTAACCGCATCTCTGCAACCTTTCCTGAAAGTGCCCTCTACGTGCCAGAGCTATGGGCATCCTGGGCAGTGCTGCAGCTGCTCTTCAGTGGGTTTCTTGCTCCTCCCAGCACCTACCTGGCACATATCAGTCACACAGATTGAAACATCCAGGAGGAGCACAGAAAGAGGACACCCCGCTAGTTAGGCAATAAGTAGGGCAACAGCTATGATGACTTTCTTTTCTTTCTTTTTTTTAATATATTTATTGATTTTTTACAGAGAGGAAGAGAGAGGGATAGAGAGTTAGAAACATCGATGAGCTGCCTCTTGCACACCCCCTACTGGGGATGTGCCCGCAACCAAGGTACATGCCCTTGACTGGAATCGAACCTGGGACCCCTCAGTCCGCAGACTGACGCTCTATCCATTGAGCCAAATCGGTTTTGGCTCTTTTTATCGTTTTAAAATAAATGTTGTCCAATCTATTGGTCTCCCAATTTTCAGATGCTTGCATATCTTCCAATTTTAGACTTTAGTGCTATTTCTCACTTACTACCTGTTGTAGGAATCCTATAAAATAAAAGCCCAATATGTTAAGTGTCCAGGTGACCAGTTGGCCATTCAACCAATCAAAGCATAACATGCTATTGATATGCGAAGGCCACTCAACCACTCGCTAAGGTATGCACTGACCACCAGGAGGCAGATGCTTCGACCAGTAGGTTAATCTGCTGATAGGGTCCGGCCAACAGGTACTGAGTGAGACAGGCCAGACAAACCCTGGAGCCCTCCCCAGGCCCTGATCACACACCGGTGGGGTCCTTCGGCCTGGCCTGCACCATCTCGCAAACCAGGACCCCTCAGGGGATGTCAAGAGAGCTGGTTTTGGCCCAATCCCGCACACTAGGTGGAGGGATCTCACTGGTGCACAAATTCGTACATTGGGCCTCTAGTCCTATATAATAAAAGTTCAATATGCTAAGTGTCCAGTTGACCTGGTTGGCCTTTCAACCAATCAAAACATAATATGCTAATGATATGCTAAGTCCACTCAACTACTCACTATGACTAGCACTGACCACCAGAGGGCAGACAGCCAACTAGTCTACCAGTTGCTGTGACATGCATGGACCACCAGGGGGCAGATAGTCAACTGGTCAACCAGTCGCTATGATGTGCACTAATCACCAGGGGGCAGATGCTTAACAAATAGGTTAGTTTGCTGCTGGGGTCTGGCCAATCAGAAGTGAGCAAAACGGGCTGGATACGCCCTGGAGCCCTCCCGTGGTCCCCTCCCCATCTGGTCAACCTGCATCCCTCTCCAGGGATTGTATACCAGTGGGGTCCCTTGGCCTGGCCTGCACCCTCTCTCAATCAAGGGTTTGGGGGATGTTGGAAGGCCAGTTTCAGCCCGATCCTGCAGGCCAAGCCAAGGGACTCCACTGGTGCACAAATTCATGCATCAGGCCTCTAGTCTTAAGGTATCAGTTGAAAAAAACAGTTATTTTCCAACTCCTTTCCTCTCCCCAGCCACATTCTGGACCTTCCAAGATCTACTGTCCCTCATCACCCCTAATGTCCTCAGCATTCTCCATGTCTAACTTAAATTCCATCATTAGTGACTTCCCACTCTAGTTTTGCTTCATTGATCCTCCTGTTAACACCTGAGCCTTGATAACCCCCAGATCTTTGCCCCCTGTAGCTGGAGACCCTGCGGACTATTCAGATCCTAACCACTAACACCATACATTCTTAGAGCTGCCCCTATTCCATTTGTTTTCTCATTCTCCTAAATATCCTTCCCCCCCCCCCTCTCTCTCTCTCTCTCTCTCTCTCTCTCTCCTGCACTCCAGCTCTTGACCTGGTATGTGCTCACAGAGAACATTGAGGCAGTCAGAACTTCCTCGTGTACCCAGTTCCTGGCATCTGTACCCTGCCTTGTATCAGCTCTCTTACAGAGCAACTCTCTGTACTTCCATCTATCCCCAGGTCTTGCTCTGGGTATTGGAGGGCCCATTTTCAATTTAATCAAATGCCTAACTCAAGCAAATCCTCCCCTCTGTTCTGCATCACCAATCCTCCCCTGTGCAGTCATTTCTATTGATATTCTAAATGCTCTCCTAAAATATATATGTCTTTGCTCAGTCAGTGGCTGAGCATCAATATATGAACCAGGAGGTTGTGGTTCAATTTTCCAGTCAGGGCACAAACCTGGGTTTTGGGCTCAATCCCCAGTGTGGGGTATGCAGGAGGCAGCCAAATGATGACTCTATTTCATCATTGCTATTACTATCTTTCTCTTCCTCTTCCTTCCTCTCTGAAATCAATAAAAGTATAATTTTTTTTAATTATGTATATACTAGGGGCCCAGTGCACAAATTCATGCACTTTGAAAGGAATTGTGGGCCGTGAGACAGCAATGGGCACAGAGGTGAGTCTCGGCCCATCCTTTGCACCCCCACCCGGCCCCTCCCATCGCAGCCCCTGGTCCCATCTGCCAGCTGCCCTGCTTCTGCCACCACATGCTGATGGTGCCAGCCCCACTCACATCCACTGACGGGCACAGCCAGCGCCAGCAGCAGGTGCAAGCGGGTCTGGCGCTGTCAGCAGTTGTGAGCCATAGCTGCTGTCCCAGTTGCCCTTCAGGAGCAGGGGGAGGTGGAGAAGCTCTCAGGGGCAATCAGGGCCAACAGCAGGTGCAAGCACCAAGCAGGACCATGGTACACAGGAGCAAAGAATTTTCAGTAACCACCAGAGGCTCACCCAAATGACAGTGACCAGCGCCCACCTTGGTCTGGTGCCCCCGCTCACCTGCTCCATCATTCCGCCTCAGCCAATGCCCGCCATGTTCTGCGTGCACCCTCAGTTGGTCAGTGCACATGATAGCTACCGGTTTTTCATTGTCTGGTCTATTTGCACATTAAGGTTTTATGTATATTTTAGGGGTGTGTGTATGTGAATCTTAATCCCACTTATTCTTCCAGGTCTTGCCATTTTTATTTCCCTTTTGGCAACCTTCTCTTATGCCCATCACTCCACCAAAACTGTCTTCTCAAGGTAGCCAGTGGCACCTGCACTGCCAAATCCAGTGGTCACTTCTCAGTGTTCGTCTTCCTTGACCTATCTGCAGCTGTTGTCACAGTGTTCCCTCCTCCTGAAATGTTTTCTTCTCTCACCTTCCAGATACCACTCACCTGCTTTTCTCCTTGCTTCACTATCATTTCTTCTCATTGCCTTTGGGACTTGGTCCCTGTACCAGATCTCTGTCTGAATTCAGTTTTGTTTTTGTTTTTTTAAAATATATTTTATTGATTTTTTTACAGAGAGGAAGAGTGAGGGATAGAGAGTTAGAAACATCAATGAGAGAGAATCATCGATCAGCTGCCTCTTGCACACTCCCTACTGGAGATGTGCCCGCAACCCAGGTACATGCCCTTGACCGGAATCGAACCCGGGACCTTTCATTTCGCAGGCCGACGCTCTATCCACTGAGCCAAACCGGTTTCGGCTTAATTCAGTTTTGATGATCTCACTCAGCCTCAGGGTTTTAAGTCCAAGTATCTATTCCCACCTAAATATCAGCTCTATGAGGAAAGAGGATTGTCATTACTGTGTATTCTGCTGTGATCTAAGCTGCCTGGAAAAGTGCCTGGCACTTAGTAGATACTCAGTAAGGGTTTTGATGGTTGGGAGATTGAATCAAAGAAACTGCAGTGTCCACCTGTTCAGCAAGATCTTCTTACCTTGGTAGAAGTAAATAAAGCTTAGTTTTTAGTTGATACAAATGCTATAGAAATATACCTTCTTAATTAAATAGTGTTAGTTGGGTGAAGTTTGGTATAGATAACTTGTATTGGTGAGCCACTTTTTTTTTCTTCTTTATTTCTAGAATAGAGAAAAGGGTTTTTAACACACTATGGCAGGTATTAACTCCCTAATGGGTATGAGGAAAGGTGATGGACAACCCATTCCATCTAGGAGCTAGAAAGTCTGTGTTTCTGATCTGGGCACTGCGGAGGGGGGGCACTTGCTGCCCTCGTCAGTGAGTCAAGACCAGCAGATTCTCTCCGAGAACTCTAGCAGGTGACCCACTTTTTATATTATCTGGCCTCTCATAATGTTTTTGATAGCTGTATATATCAGACTAGAGGCCCCATGCACGAAAATTTATGCAAGAGTAGGCCTTCCTCCCCACAACTGTCGTCACTGGCTTCCCTCCAGCACCGGGACTCTGGCTGGCTTCCCTTCGGCCCCGGCTTCATCAGGAAGGACATTCGGAGGGATATCTGGTAGATGTCCTGTCTAATTATCATATTACCCTTTTATTATAAATTAGGAACAATAGGGAGAGTTAATTCACATGAAATTTTAGAAAGTGTTCCAGAGCACAAATGAAATAGAGGGATCTCTTGAAACAAATAGACTTAAGTGATAAGAGATAATTGGCATAGGAAAGAGAGGAGCTGGCATGGTGGTCAAAGACCTTGGTTATATCCCAGCTCTAAAACTAGCCACTGGCACACCTGGCCAACTTCTCTAGTTGACAGTTTCCTCATCACTAGAATTTGGGGTTCGTTAGAGTTGCTAGTGTTCATCCAGCTTTACAAGTGGTGACACTGTGGAGTTTAGGTCTCTACCCCCGAGCTGCTCCTGGAGATGCGGTGTCTTTCTATGCCCCGTGTGTCCCTGGTGGGCTGGGGACTGGACGTGGCCGGGAGAGCCTGCTGCTGGGTGCAGTGCATATCAGTGGCCGGTGCTGATCTCACCACTTCCTTCCTGGTTCGTGGTTTTCTGTGTTCATTGTTTTATTGTGTCAGATCTTACTTCATGAGTATGTTTGCTGTCAAATACAGTGAAAACTACATTATGATTAAAATGCAACTCCCTAATTAGGTTTGAAGATGTTATATAAAAATTAGGTATATCTCTAATTCTGCTGGCTGTGTATTGACTTAACAACCTTTGTGCTCAGGGGGTGAAGCATGTGCTGGGATGGTTTTACTGACTTCATGTTCTTTTTCCTAACAGGGGGCGTCTGAGAAAGACATCGTGCACTCCGGCTTAGCCTACACCATGGAGCGCTCGGCCAGGGTACGTGCGCCGCTGCTCTGTCTGTGGTGTCTCAAAGGGCACCCCAGTGTGGTCTCAGCCCCCAGGCTGCTGAGCGTGTGATCCTCATTTGTGTGTGGCAGAGCACATGCTTTTTCAGTCTTAAATGGTAGCCAGTGTTTTCAGGGTCTTCAATATGTTTACCAGGCTTATGGAAATAACTAATAATGTCGAGTAGGAAGAAGTGAGGTTTTCCATTATCCTATAGCAAATGGTCGGCAAACTCATTAGTCAGCAGAGCCAAATTCCAACAGCACAATGATTGAAATTTCTTTTGAGAGCCAAATTTTTTAAACTTAAACTTGTCCTAGCGCCACTTCTTCAAAATAGATTCGCCCAGGTCTTTTGTGGAAGAGCAACACTCAAGGGGCCAAAAAGCCGCATATGGCTCACAAGCCACGGTTTACCAACCACTGTCCTATAGCAAGTGACTGCACTATAGAATTTTATGTAAATTAGAGGTTTTTTGACTACTTGATTCTTTTTTTTTTTTAATATATTTTATTGATTTTTTTTACAGAGAGAAAGGGAGAGGGATAGAGAATTAGAAACATCGATGAGAGAGAAACATCGATCAGCTGCCTCCTGCGCACCTCCCACTGGGGATGTGCCCGCAACCAAGGTACATGCCCTTGACCAGAATCAGACCTGGGACCTTTCAGTCCACAGACCGATGCTCTATCCACTGAGCAAAACTGGTTAGGGCTGACCACTTGATTCTTATATCAAGATCTTAAACACAGTTTGTCCAGCTTTCCTAATTTCTTGAGTTCAAATTCTGTCTGCTCATATTTAAGGTAGAATAACACAACAAGTATTACACACTGAATTTACTTCTTTACAGTACATAATTTAACAACTTTAAATGTACCCACAGAGCTACATAGCTATCGCCACTAACTACAGGTCACTCCTCACCCTGTTCTTAGTCCTTGTACATCACCATAGAGCATGTCCAATGAATTCCTCCCTGATAGCAGGATGTCTGAAGGACACAGACAGCTCACACCTAAAGTTCTGAAGAGCAACTTCTTGCTGCTGCCTAGACAGTGGCTTACTTAATTTCAAGAATCGGTCCTTCCTGACTAGAAGTTATTCTACTGCCTGAGTAGTTTATTTTTGGCTGCCCACGTCAAAACAGGAACAGGCAACTTGTGCCAGCCCGTATGTGCTGGTGTGGCCTGGATGCTGAGTCAGGTGGTCTTCACTATTTTTTCTACTTTGTTTCAGCAAATCATGCGTACAGCCATGAAATATAACCTGGGATTGGACCTGAGAACAGCTGCCTATGTCAATGCCATTGAGAAAGTCTTCAAGGTGTACAACGAAGCCGGTTTGACCTTCACATAGATGGATTGCCACTGACTTCTATACTGCTCTCTTCACCTCTTCATCCGTAGACCTATCACAAGTTTACATGTAACCACAGATCTTTCTCTCATTGCTTATAGACAATGGACAACATTCTCATAGGTCGATTCAAATGAGACTCTTCAGAAAAGAGAAATTAAAATTAGGGGGTCACGTGCAAAACTAAAAGTAGATGCCAGAGAGCCATTTGGGTATATCAGCAGAAGAGCTCAATTCTATAGATTACAAACAAAATAAATACTGTTTCTCTTTATGCATTTTATCCTTTTAGAATAAAATAACAACATGCTGCTGTAATAAAACTGCCTTTAATCACTGACTAAGCCTAACCTGGACTACGCAGTGAATGCCCATAAACACAATGAATTAAAAAGCTGGTATTTTTATAACAACACTGTATCATTTATAGCTTATCAGTAGTATGTTGTCCACAAACAAAAAGCCCAATGGAGAGTTAGTTATCTTCTTTCCTATCGTTGCATAGCAATTGATGGCACCTATTTCTGTTGTGTGAGACTGTCAGAATTTATTAACCACCTTGATGACACATAGTCCAAAGAATGTAGTAACCTCCTTATGTTAATTAATTGCTCTTCTCTTTTCAAAGCCTATTGTATTGCCTGATTGAACAATAATTCAAATAGTGTCTCAGAAAAAAACCACTTGAGCTCCCTCTCTGGGGTCTGGCTGGCAGCTCTGAGCATTGCCAACAACAGCCCAACTCACCCTGACTTGGCAGCCCCTTGCAGGGCCTCCCCTCGGCACAGCTTCACCAGCACAGCTTCAGCAGCAGCCCGGGACAGCCTGGAGTGGCCGTGTGCTTTGCCAGGGCCTTTTGAATAGCAGTGTCCCAACGAAGTGCTAGATACTATTTATGTAAGAATGAGCTTTTTCTTTTTTTAACAATATCCTTTCAGAAATTTCTAACTACTTTGTAACTGCATGACTTAACTTGGTGGTAAAAGCAGTTATTAAAAGTCTACCTTTTCCAAAGCTTATGTTTCTTTCTGTTTTTATATTTTAATAGTGTCTCTTAGTAGGTGATGAAAATACAATTGGGTTTCTGGAGTTTTTTAAACAACCACCTAAATGACATCACTCTTGCTATGTTGCGAGTGACCACATTTTATTCTTGAATTCTCTTGTTTCATTATATTGAATAGGAAATGGCTCTCAAGTTGATACACTGAAGTAATCTCTTTGGTACCTTTTTTAATGAAGGAAGGTTTCATTGATTAGGGGTGTTTTTTTAATTACTTAATCAAAGAAATTACAAGTTTAATGTAATACCCAGAATCAGCAAAAATGGATTCTAGATCTGTTTCCACTAATGACTTAGCTGCCAGATCTGGATTCTGTTTCCTCCTGAGAAGGGGCAGAAAAGCAGGCCCCACAGACCAGGAGCCCTTCCCGAGTGCTGTCTGCCGGCCCACAGGCAGAGCACTAGATGTGCTGGAGAAGGTGCAGAAAACAAGTGTCAGAGAGAACAGTATTGGTGGACCGTAGGTTCAGGTCATGTGACGATCAGGTCTTAGTCTTGGCCTTTTGCTAACTTACTGGGAGTAGGCATGACTTTTTTTAAAGCGTTGATGTGTGTTATTGATATTAATCTTTTAAAAAGTTGTAATGTCTATGCTAGACGAGTATCAACTTTGGTTCCTGGATCTTTGAGTTAGAAAATTCTGGTCAATTTAGTTGCCTCATGAACTCCTACACTAGAATGTAGTTGATCCTGATGGATAAAGTTAGGGGGAGGTTTTGGGGGGTTTTTGTATGTGTATGTGTTGTGGGTTTTTTTGTTTTTTTTCTAGCAATGCTTTAATGTTTTTATTTTTAGAGAGAGAAAGTGAGAGGGAGAGAGAAATAGAAACATCTATGAGAGAAAAACATCCATTTGCTGCCTCCCAGATGCCCCCCACTGAGGATGGAGCCTGCAACCTGCAACATTTCCTGGTTCCCATGTCAGCGCTTGACCACTGAGCTATGCCGACCAGGCTGGTTAACTGTTTTTCTAAACAAAACAAAAGCCTGACCCTGGTTCAGTTGTTTGGAGCTACACCAAAAGGCTCGAATTCAATCCCCAGTTAGGGTGGGGGAAGGGGAGCAAGGGGTTGATGTATCACTTTCACAAAGATATTTCTCTTCTCTCTCTAAAATCTATGAACATATCAGGGGAGGATTTGAGAAAGAAGCCTGGCATCTTAACTCACAAGCTTTAAATACCCTTAACATCTGGCAGGCTTCTTACCCTGTTACACATTAGGGCTGTATATTGATGTCAAAGGACATCAAGAAAAGTACAGCCCAGCATCAACCTATGAACCATGAGGTTACATAATTTATGAAGTTCTACCATGATAATTCTAGCACTCATCTCCATATGTTCCCTATGTTGAACTTGACTGAATACATTTTTGTTACAACTGGGGGCACGAAACATCTCACAATGCACAGGATAGTCCAAAATTTCAATAGTGCTGAGGTTGACAGACTGTCTAAACTACATGAGACTTTGATATAAAAACAAATCAAAGAAGCCAATAAAAATCATTTGTATAAAATTAAAAAATAGCTGAGACCAGTTTGGTCAGTGGATAGAGCAACATCGGCCTGCGGATTGAAGTGTCCTAGATTCAATTCAGGTCAAGTGCATGTACCTTTGTTGCGGGCACATCCCCAGTGGAGGGTGTGTAGGAGGCAGCTGATCAGTGTTTCTCATCGATGTTTCTATGCCTCTCCCTTCTTCTCTTTAAAAAATTAATAAAATATAAAAAATAATAATACCCATATTACAAAACAAAAATTCTGCAAAGGCAATCACTTACAACAATTTTACTTTCTATTTAAATCCTTTGCCCATTTTTTATTATTTTAGTAACTTTATATAGTTGAATATGTGACTCATAATTTGCAAATCTTTTGTCTCATTCCATTGATTTGTCTTTTTCTTGATGTTGACAATCATTTTGATAAAGAGTTAAAGTTATTTTTTCTTTGGTTGCTATACCTTTGTAAGTAATCATTGCCTAATTCAAAGTTCCCACATGTTTGATGAATTCAAATAACAAATATTTAAGGAATTAACACCAATCTTAGACAGACTCTTTCAAAAAGAAAAGATGAGGAAACACTCTAACATCTATGAAGTATTATCCTGATAATGCCAGACAAAGATCACAAGAAAAGAAAACTGTACACAAGTATTCCTTATGTATATAGACATAAAAATGGTAACAGTCCATGCCCTAACCAATTTGGCTCAGTGGATAGAGCATCGGCCTGTGGACTGACGGATTTCTGTCAAGGGCACATGCCTGGGTTGCGGGCTCCAGTATGGGGCATGCAGAAGGCAGCCAATCAATGATTCCTTGTCATCACTGATGTTTCTATCTCTTCCTATGAAATCAATTTTTTAAAAAAATTTTTAATATTAACAATCCAACAGCCCGTAAGTATTACACATCATGACCAGGTAGGATTTGTCCCAGGAATGCAAGGGTGCTTCAACATGAAGTAATGTTATATATCCACAAATAGAATGGGGGAGGGGGAGAATCATAATCACCTCAATAGATGGGGGAGGGGGGAAACTCGATAAAATCCAAGATCCTTTCACAATAAAACCACAGTAATAGAAGGAACTTCAACATAATAAAGGGCATTAACAAAAATAAAAATGGCCTCATTGGTGAAAAACAATGCTACCCTTTAGTAGGAGCAAAGATTCTTGTTTCCTCCACTGTTATTCAACAATGTAATTAGGCAAAAAAATTCAAGTCATCTGAAATGGAAAGGAAGAAATGAAACTACAAACATTACATGGTTCTATACATAAAAAATCCCATAGAGGACACAAAACCCACTGGGGCTAATGTGTTAAGCAAAGTTACAGAGTATAGCATCAATACACAAAAAACAGCATTTTTCCCTATACACCAACCATCTGTAAAGGAAGTTTAAATTATAGTCTGGCTGGTGTGGCTCAGTGGTTGAGCATCAACTCATGAACCAAGAGGTCCCTGTTTGATTCCTATGGGCTTGATCCCCAGGAGAGAGCAGGCAGAAGGCAGCTAATCGATGTTTCTATTCCTCTGTAAAAACCAGTAACATTTTTTAAAGAGAAAACAATTATATTTACAATAGCATTCAGAAGAATAAAATATTTAAGAATAAAATTAAGGAGGTGAAAGCCCTCAACACTGAAAACTACAAAAGAATACCGATGGAAAGATGTCCCATGTTATAGATGAATATTATAATATTAAGAAGGCATTTCTTAAGGCAATCAATAGATTCAAAATTCTTTTTTTAATATATTTTATTGATTTTTTACAGAGAGGAAGAGAGAGGAGATAGAGCTAGAATCATTGATGAGAGAGAGACATCGACCGGCTGCCTCCTGCACACCCCACACCAGGGTACATGCCCTTGACTGGAATCGAACCTGGGACCTTTCAGTCTGCAGATCGATGCTTTTTCCACTGAGCCAAACCAGTTTCGGCAATAGATTCAAAATTCTAATTCAAACTTCTGATGGCCTTTTGCAGAAATAGAGATTCTGAACCTAAAATTAATATGAAAATGCAAGTGGCCCCAAATAACCAAAATATTGAAAAAGATAAAATTGAAAATCTCATTCAGTTTCAAATTTTAATGCAAAGCTACAGTAATTAAAATTGGTCCTGGCAAGCAAACATACAGACCAGTGTTGGAGTCCAGACCATTACGGTTGAAGCTGTCTTCACCAAGGACCACAAAATGGAAGGTGCAAAGCTTAGGCTGTAAACCAACACACCTTTATTATCTCACAGTTTGAGTGGCTACAAATTAGTGTCTGGAAGACCATGCTTCCTCTGAAACCTCTAGGAATTCCACGCACAGGAATTCCTGACTTCTTAGTTTGTAGTGTTGGCCATTAATCCTTGACACTAGCTTGTAACTGCATCACTTCAATCTCTGCCTCTGCCATGTCATGGCCATCATCCCTCTGAGTGTCCTAGAGGAATACCTACTCCAGTATGACATCTTAATTAGTTACATCTGCAATGACCCTATTTCCAAATAAGGTCACATCCTGAGGTTCTAAGGGTTAGAACTTCAACATATCTTTTTGGAGACACAGTTCAACACAACATTATTCAATGGGAAAAGAATAGTCTCTTTAACTAAAGGCACTGAGACAGACCTAGTCGGTTACAAAAATGAACTCAAAATGGATCGAAGACCTAAGTATCCTATATAATAAAAGTCCAGTGACCATAATGGCAGAACAACTGCTCAACCAATCACCATGAGGTGCACTGACCACCTGTCAGTCCCTTTCCCTGGCCAGCAGGCTCTGATCACTGATGGCAAACGTTGACCTGGGGTGGGTGGCCAGGGATGTGGGCTGTGCCAGGCCAAAGCACCCGCCCTGCCCCACAGAGGGTGACCTGTGGCAGGCGTGGGGGCAGCAAGCAAGCAGGAACGGCTGCCCTCTTATTTACTCCCCAGGTCATCAGGCTCCCTTTGCTGCATGGTGAATGGGGAGCTGGGGTGGGTGGCAGTGGGGTGGGGGCTAACTGCCAGCAACCGGGGAAGATGGCCCTGATCACAGGCTAGGCCTGGAAACCGTATCTGCACATGATTTCATGTACCGGGCCTCCAGCTCTATATAATAAAGAGATAATAGGCTAATCGGTCCTAACAGTGTCTGAGTCATGACCACTCAATGGGTTGCACACGCACAGGACCTGGCGGGTGGGGACAGGCGGAGACTTCCACCCCCAGCGCTAACGTCACACTGCCTGTGTGCATCCCCATTCAGCACTGACAGGACGCTGTGAGGGGGCTGGGCTTGACAGGGAACCTGAGACTGCGCCCCTCCCCCAGCGCCGGGCTGGGGGACCTGAGGCTGTCCCCCCCACCTGGAGGGACTTGACAGGGGTGGGGCTGGCTGGGGCTGGGTCTCCTGCGTTTTCGAAGTGAGTGCAGGTGGTGGGCGGGGACTTGACTCTAGGTCCCACAGCATGCCCAGACTCTGACAGAAGGGAGATTTTCTGTAATCTCTGACATTTCTATTATAGAGAAAGGTCAAATAAAAGAGTAATATGCAAATTGACCATACCTCTGCTACACCCACAAGCTATGTCCATCAGCCAATCAGGAGTGAGTATGGAAATTAGCCTAGCCAAGATGGCTGCGGCCATGGAGAGAGCAGAAGGCTTGGGTTTTCCCAGCAATAGAGGAAGCCAAGCTTTCTGCCTGCCCTGGTGGGCCCAGGCCTACACTCAAGGCTACAAAAGTTCAATTATAGAAAATAAATAAATCCCAACAAAAATGGTGGCAGCCTCAGAGCTGGAGAGAGCAGGAGGCTTGAGTTGCCCCTGGCAATGGAGGAAGCCGAGCTTCCACAACCCTGGCCTGCCTTGGCCTCCGTTCAATGCTACAAAGTTTCAATTATAGAAGATAAATAAATCCCAGCCAGATACCAGGGCCTTCACTTGGGTCACCGGGAGGTGTAGCCGCCTTGCAAACCACCACAGGCCCCTGGTCCAGGCCACCCCATACCCCAACCTGATCTGGGATACCCTTCAGGGAAAACTAGCTGGCCCCCACATATGCACCAGGCCTCTATCCTAATAAAAGAGTAAT